CCATCATCCAATGACCTAGAAGTAAGAGCAGTCCAAACTTTGAAGGCTGGTTTGAAGAAACAGTCAGGTAGATAGTGCTAGATACCAAGCTATCACGGTTCTTATTTGATTATAGAATCACCCCACATGCAACTACCAGCAGAGGTGCTAATGGGGAGAAGACTCCACACCAGGTTAAGTGTGATCTTCCCAGACCTGGGGAGGAGGGTGAAATGGCATCAGAAATGCCAATACTGGACACAAGAGTCCACCAAGTGAGATTGTTTAATACATGTGACAAAATTTGATATAAAATTCATGGAAAAAGACCTGCATGGGTAAGAGGCATGATTGACATGAGGTCAGGACCAGTGATGTATAAAGTTTGGGTGGATCCAACAGTCCTGAACAGGCACATAGACTGTGTGAAAGCTGCAAACTCACAAACGGTGTTGGAGCAAAACATGCCCTGCCCCTTGGAACAGTCAGAAAAGTTGCTGAAACCCATGTGTTCATTCTCTCTGTCAAATGTTACTGAGTCCTCAAAATCAGAGCTGGACATGATGGATTTAGCCCCTGGAAGAAAAGAATGAAATTCTACTGAGCTGTTTCTAGCACATGAGATGAGCTCCTATGTGTTACATGGTGCCTGTACCTGACCCGGTGCTACAACGCCACAGAAACTCTTCAGGATAAAGGACCGGCCTATGTCTGCGGATTCCAAGGGAGAGGGATGTAGTGATTGTAACATGGTTAGCGACCTAGATCTTGTAGAATATGAGTTTCTTCACTGGGGCTGTTAATCTGGTCAGGGAGCCGTGGCTGACATATAAAAAGGGTGAGTGTCAGATCTACTTTGATACCTCACTCTTAATGGGGCAGTACTAAAGATGAGGACTGTTCATGTGTAAATCAAGGGTGACTTGATGGATACCGGCCTCTGTGCAGTTATTTCAGGAAGATTGCTGCATGTTGGAGGACTACAACTACAGGCTGAATTTTACCCTCCTCCCTCCCTGCCAGAATGTTTGTAGACACTGGGCTCCTGTCCCTGTCAATATATAAACAAGGAGTAGGAGTATGCCATTCAACCCTTTTAGCTCTTGACTATTCTTTCATTTTGCAGGGGAAGGTGGAAGGGTCAGGCAGCCCACTTGCCATTGAGCCCATTTGAGGACCTCAAAAGACCAATTAATGGTCTAATTTACTCATGGCAGGGGCAGTACCAGCCCCAGCTCCCTTTCTTGGGTGTCCCAATGTCTGGCAAGACAGGGTAAACCTCCTTTTGTGATCCCTTGTGTCTACTGGAGGCATTTCCCACAACGCCATACAGCTCCCCACTTTTAATCAACCATCCTCTTCTGATAACTCGTCTTTCAAACCTGGTCTCCCACCCCACTTAGCTGGGGTCTGCCAACAAGGGCCCACCAATAACCCAGATTATCCTGAATTCTAGTCTACCTTCTTTAGTAGCTGCCTGTCGTCTCAGCAGTCACAATCTGAACCTGGTACTGAGACCACAGAGCTGTTGGTCAATCAGATGGTAACAAAAGACTCGCTTGATCCAATTAATACAAAACAGATGCAGGACATCTAAGTTTTGGTGGACAGGTATCCAACCAATGTTTACATTTTAATCATGGGACAGAATATGGTGCCATATTAAACTCAGCAAGTTAAATCTTTCTTGGAGACTGACACATCATGAAATTTTCCAAAACACTGTTGGCCAGATCCTCACTCATCCAAGCAGCTGCTCTCAGTCTGGCAGCACCTCACTTTTAAAAGTTTCATCTTCATTCTCAAATCCATCTGTGGTTTTGTTCTTCCCTATCTATGTAAGCACCACCAGCACCACCAACCCTCCAAGATCTCTATAGTCTCCCAATTTTCTCCTGAGCATTTCCCATTTTAATTGTTTAACCATTGTTCAAAGATACGCCTGAGATATTAAACAGAACATGTACTATCAAGTGCTTTGGAACTTGCAAATATTGCTTTGAGTTACTCTTCAGCTTTTGGAGCTCAGGTTACAGATATTCACAAAAAGAAACAAGAACAACCAGTCACTTTGAATTTCAATGTACACTCAGAGTGTTGGTGCTGTATTTTTAACCTCACATCACATAAGGCAATATTTCCAGAAGAGTGGACTATGTACTTATGTATTTTAAATGACTAAATGAGTTGACAGAGTTGTTCGAGAGAAATGATTCCTCTGGTGGTAGAGTCCAGAACAAGGGGCAGAGCATTAAAATTACAGCGTGGCTGTTGAAGGATCATTCAATAAACACTTCTTCACAAAAAGGAAATCTCGATCTCCTACCCATAAAAAAAACCTATGCTATGGCCAATTGAAAATTTCAAAATTGAGATTGCTAGAGTAATTGTTAGGCAGGGGGGTTACAGAGTCAAGGCAGGTCGATAATGCTAAGACACAGATCAGCCATGATCTAACTGAATGATGTAACAGGCTCACAGGACTACTTCAGTTCCTATGATCCTTTAATTTTTCTCGACTGCCCTCTCCGCTCTCAACTCCAACAACAATTAGTTGGTACTACCCTCTTCAACCTCCAACTGAGTTTCTGACCCCATATCCTTTCCATCATAAATACCACCTACTACTCTCTCCGTAATATCCCAACCCTCTCTACAATAGTCCACTTTCTGTTGAAATATTCATCCATGTTTTTGTTGCTTCTAGACTAGACTGAATCATGCCAATGCCCTCCTGTCCATCTTTCCAGGATCCACCCTCCATAAGTATCATCTTAGCTAAAACTGTCCTCTCAATCATCTGTCAATCCTGTGCTCACTCACCTACACTAGTTCTCAATCCCTCAGTGCCTCCAATTTAAAATTCTCATTATCAGACAAATTACTCTATGGCCTTTCACTCTCCTTCTCCCTGTCACTTTCAGTCCCACCTCCCTCCAATATCTGCATGGGATTTCCTCCAAACTGGCCTTTGTACATACCCAGTCAACTCCCTTTGTTCAGCTATTGACAACCATGCCATGCAGGTTCCATGCTTTACAATTCCCTCTTTAAATCTCACAGTATATTTACATTTGTCATCTCCTTTAGGACCTTCCTAAATCCCACCTCTGATATATTTTTGATCATTTCCTCCTAACAACTCCTTCTCTGTCTCAGTTTTAATTTTTGTCAGGTTACATCTCTAGGAAACACTTTGGGATGTTTTATTACTTTAAGGCACTCTAATAACTGTAACTGTTGTTCTTTCACATTCCCATCAGTCCTCAAGGTATGACTGGAAGTCAAACTGCTGACATTGACTAGCCTCTAGTGCTCTGTTCAAATTGGCCATTCAGCATGTGGAGAGACAGACAGTGAATGTCGTGAGACAATGGCGACTGTCACAACCGACACATCCTGCCCTCAATAAAAACGGAAAGAACTGTGGATGCTGTAAATCAGGAACAAAAACAAAGTTGCTGGAAAAGCCCAGCAGGTCTGGCAGCATATGTGAAAGAAAAAACAGAGTTAACATTTCGGGTCCGGTGACCCTTCCTCAGAACTGATGGTGGCTGGGAAAACGTCAGTTTATATGTATATATATATATCCTACATATAAACTGATGTTTTCCCTGCCCTCACCCTGACTTTCCAGATGGGCTTGCTGGTGAGGAATGGGATTCTGGGCTGATTCTCCCCCTGCACAAACCAGAGACACTGAGGCTAATTGAAGTACTTCCATTGCTACCTGAACAATGGCTTCTCTGCCAGGAGCTTGTGCTAATAGATCAGAAGCTGAAGCCTTTCTAACCACAGAGTAATTGATTGTCTTTTTGGTCAGAATGAGAGTTGGTGAGTGACTTGTACTTGACGCTGCACTGAAAGGATGCTGAGTTTACATAGAAGCATCAATACGTATAGTGATCAGATCAAAGATTAAATTGACCTTGAAATTATTGGACTGATGATGGGAGAGATAGTGATTTGGAACAATACTCCTGTGTGAACACAACACAGATAACTCTCAGCGTAACCGATGCTGTCAACCTGGCTCCAAGTTCTTTTGGAAAAATCAGTCTGTGGTGAGATGGAAAGAGTGAGCAACCAACAGAATGTTAGGTTTTGTCTCCTGTTCAGGTTCACTGATGTTCCAGATCTGAAAACTGAGTGAAGGCTTTATCATGGAACTCAAACCAATAGTGTTTCCTGTGTGAATATGTTGATGCACTGCAAAAACCTGTCTGTCTTAGGCATTATAACACTAATTCTGAGAGTCTTCATTCACTTAATTTATCCTTCTAAGACTTTGACGATGCAGATAATGAAATAATCTATCGTTTCATAAATTCAGGAAATATTTATTCAGTACAAAGGGTAATAGTTAAAGTTAGACTGTGACTTTAGTGGCTTAGCACAGGCCTTGCTACTTGATTAAGCCTTGGGAGTCAGTTGAAATGTTTCTCCCTCATGTCATTACATCTCCTGTTCAAAGCTGTGTACAATTTCCAGTCTGTATGAGTTCTCAACTTCAATCTCTGCATCTTTACAACAGAAAGCCACTGGCTTTTAATGCATTGCCTGATGTTTATTAAGACTGGTGTTCCTGGTCCCTGGTTCAAACAGTGTGTGACCAGTCTCTGTTCGGGTCAGGCAGTGTTTGATCAGTCTCTGATACATTTATGAAGGGTGGCAGCCACTACTGATGTCGCTGCCTGTTAAAAAAACAGTGCTATTTACCTCAGATGCCAGTCACTTATTAAGTTGTCCCTCTCGTTACAATGCATTTATTCGTTAATTCAATCTTTCTATCCGAATAACGAGACATCTTATGATCGTCTCCGTGTACATTTTTTGTGATAAGGGGGAGCTGGTGATTTCTGGTGCTAATCATAGACTCGAGGCTCATTGTCCTCGAATGTTTAATTGATGCAAAAGTCTCAATCCTGCAGATCCTTTACAATTCTCATTGAGACAAGCTTTTAATAGAGTTATGGCCTAAAGTACTGTTTCACTGATGTAGAGTTCAACAGCAAGTGATACTACTTGACACAGTTTAATTAAATTTAACAAAAGTTACAAAAACACACATAGCTTTAAGACTCATAGAAAAGCCACCAACTTATTTCATACATAAAATTTACACATAGCATGCAGAAATCAGTGCAGAGTTACAGTGTGTAAGGATGTCAGAAGATTCACTGACAAAAACTGCTACATGTTTATAAGTAACTAGAGCAAAAATTGCACAATGCTAATTAAGAAAATATTTAATTTGTAAGCTTCCAGAACCACAGCTATTATATAATTTGAAGGAAAGTAAGTGTTTTTCTTTTAGGCATTACAAGTTAATGCTACATTAAAAGACTGATCTAATTCAGGATGCAGAACTGAAAACTTCAAAATTCACAGCTGCTTTCTCACACAAAGGGACATTTTCAACATCCCTCTGCATCTTGAGTATGACTGATAAATGGTCATTGCTGAGAGGTTAACGGCTGCAGACTGTGGTCCATTCAATGTTGATTGAGTTCACAGCAACGGCTATACCAATAAATTAAAATGCATAAGTCATAGCATTGCACATAGGTTTAGGTCATGTAGGAGATTTCACTTGTCAGGTTGCAGTTGCATCTTCACAGACAACAGGTGCAGTCATCATGGAAACAGTGATGCTGATTACAATCAAAACATATAAAACATTAGGTTGACATGTAATGAGACTGCAGACTAATTATTAAACATGATTTTTCTTACAACACTTTCCTGTGGCAAAGTCTAGTAAGACTTGAATGATTTTTCATTGGTGTGGATTAACTGGTGCTTTGTCAGATTGAAGAAGTGGGTGAATACTGTCTCACAAACATTGCACATCAGGAAGGTTAAAAACAAAGGTCTTATTGCAAACCTCATACTTATAGAGTTACTCCCATGTGGATTCTGTGATGGAGCATGAGATATGATGATTTTATAAAGTTTTGTAGTATGTCTTACAAGTGAACAGTTTCCACTTGTGTGAATATGTTCCTGTGCACAAAGATACCAATGGCTCAGAGGACACAACTCACATAGGAATAGTTTCTCCTGTGTGATTGTGCTGATGACTGACCAGTGCCAATGATTGTGTAAAACCCTCATTACACACCTCACAGACAAATAACTTTTCCCCAGTGTGAACACGTCGGTGATTCACAAGTGTTGATGACCGTGCAAAGGCTTGGTTGCATATCTCACACCTGAATGGCTTCTCCCCAGTGTGAATGCGTCGGTGATTCACAAGTGTTGCTGACCGTGTGAAAGCTTGGTCACACAGATCACACTTGAAGGGTTTCTGCCCAGTGTGAATCCTCTGGTGCATCAGGAGTTCAGAGGATTGGGTGAAAGCCATCTCACAAACCTCACATGTGAATGGTTTCTCCCCAGTGTGCATGCGTCGGTGTCTCACAAGTGTTGCTGAACGTGTGAAAGCCTTGTCACACATCTCACACTTGAAGGGTTTCTCCCCTGTGTGGACCCTCTGGTGCCTCAGAAGATCAGAGGATTGCGTGAAAGCCATGTCACATTCCTCACACTTGAAGGGTTTCTCTGCTGTGTGGTTCCTCTGGTGCATGAGGAACGATGTTGAGCTGGTGAAGGCTTTGTCGCAGACCTCACACTTAAATGGCCTCTCCCCTGTGTGAATGCGCTGGTGTTTTCGGAAGGAAGATGAGTGTGAGAATGATTTGTTGCAGACTTCACATGTGAATGGCTTCTCCCCTGTGTGAATGCGTCTGTGATACAATAGGGTTGATGCCTGTGCAAAACCCTCGCTGCACACCTCACACTTGAATGGCTTCTCCCCAGTGTGAATGCGTCGATGATTCACAAGTGTTGATGATAGTGTGAAGGCCTGGTCGCACACCTCACACTTGAATGGTTTCTCTCCTGTGTGGATTCTCTGATGTTTCAGGAGATCGCAGGATCGGGGAAATGCTTTCTGACAGACCTCACAAATGAACAACTTCTCCCCAGTGTGAGTGCTTTGATGATCTATGAGTGTTGATGACTGTGTGAAGTCTTGGTCACATACCTCTTGCTTGAATTGTTTCTCTTCCATCTGGCTGTCCTTGTGTTATTCAGGGATCTAATGAGCTTGGCACTTGAATTGCCTCTCAACTGACTCTTTCATGAGTCAGCAGTTCATGAATTTCGATGAATGATTGAAGCTCTCACCACACTAGGAACCACTACACTTCTTCCCAGTATCACCCTGACTGATCACCCACAGCTGACCGATTTCCAGATGATGGTTACACTGCCCAACCTTCCCTGTGTTGGTCAATGCTGTGAAGGGACTGGATATCTTCCCACCGTTGTACAGTTGTTTGTGGGTTATAGTGAGGATCTATCTGTGGTGTCTGTCCTTTCTGTATTCTCTTGTGTAGTATGGTGCAATCCTTCTGCAAGACAGAAAAACAAAACATGATTTCTTCCAATGTTCTCTTCTGTACTGGCTCCTCAGTTAGAGGCTGTTCCACATTAAGTGCTGGTCTGATATTCCCCTGTGTGGAGGAAATCAGATACAATGCCTTTCTTCTTCCTCACTTGACTGTCAGACATCTTTTAATGTCAGATTTTTATCCTATAATACATACCAATAAAATTTATAATCAGCGTTTTTCACCATCTCAGTATCGTTACAGCAAATATTTTTAACTATAAAGCTGTGAAAAAAACCTTTTTTTTAGATCTGGATCTACATCTTTGTCAAAGGCAAATCAGTGCTTTCTTGGTCCATGTCCTGTGCTTAAATCTGTTAATTTGTTCCTGAGATATATAACTTACGAAGGGACCAACAAACAATAGCAAAATCAGTACTTCTACCCAGCTTCAGTGGTGGAGGTAACTGGCAGAAAAAGGAAGAATCTGGCACTAAACCTTGGTAGTAATTATACAATTTTACCCTCAAAATGAAATACGATATGGTCCTCAGGGAGCATGGGAATGTCCACTCGCGCTGGGTGAGGCTCAACTCCTGGAGTCTTAAATTGAAAATGTGCCTATCGCCATCAAAATTGCTACATGTGTAAATGCCACATGACACAAAAATTGGTGGTACAGTGGATAGTGAAAAAGGTTATCTAAGAGTACAATGGGATCTTGATCAACTTGGCCAGCGGTCGAAGGATTGGCAGATCAAGTTTAATTTAGATAAATGCGAGGAGCTGTACTTTGGTAAGACAAACCAAGGCACAACTTACACGGTTAATGGCAGGGCCTTGGGGAGTGTTGTGGAACAAGAGCTGGTACATAGTTCCTTGAGACTGGTGTCACAGGTAGACAAGGTAGTGAAGAACATGTTTGGCATGCTTGCCTTCATTAGTCAGAAGATTGAGTGCAGGAGTTGGAATGTCGTATTACAGCTGTACAAAACATTGGTAAGGCCAAATTTGGGGTACTGCATACAGTTCTGGTCATCATGATGTAGGAAAGATGTTATTAAACTTGAAAGAGTACAAAGAAGATTTACAAGGATGTTAATGAGACGGGAGGGTTTAAGTTATAAGGAGAGGCTGGATATGCTGGGACTTTTTTTCTCCTGGAACGTAGGAGGCTGAGGGGTGGCCTTATAGAGGTTTATAAAATCATGACAGGCACAGATAAGGTTAATAGCCAAGGCATTTCCCCAGGGTAGGGGAGTCCAAAACTAGAGGGTATTGGTTTAAGGTTAAAGAAAAAAGATTTAAAAGGGACCTGAGGAGCAACTTTTTCACACAGAGGATGGTGTGTATATGGAAGTGGTAGAGGTGAGTACATTTACAACATTTAAAAGACCTTTGGACAAGGACTGTAAAGGTTTGGAGAGTTAACGGGCCAAATGCAGGCAAATGGGACTTGTTCAGTTTAGGAGATCTGGTCGGCATGGACAAGTTGGACTGAAAGGTCTGTTTCCGTGCTGTATGTCTCTATGACTCTATCACAGCCTCATCTTTCAGACAGTATGATACCATCCAAAGTTTTTCCTAAATCTGCTGCCTGTTTCCTGACTCACACCCAGTATGATTCATGCTCGCTGATTTGTACTTACTCTTGGTCCAGCAATGCCTTGCTTTTAAAATTCACATTCTTGTTTTCAAATCCCTTTCATGGCTTCACTCTGCCTAACTTTGTAATTTCCTCTAACTCTAGAACATCTTGAGATCTCTATACTCTTTAATTTTGGCTTCTTAAACATTTCACATTTTAAATCATTTCATTATTGTTGGTTGTGTCTTCAACTGCCATGGCCTTAATCTCTGGAATTCCTTCCCCAAAACCTTCCACCTCACCTTCCTCCAAGACCCTCCTATCAAACAACCTCATTTCCCAATTTCTTTTTGCTAATCTGTGAAAATATTATTCTTATGTGAGCCAGTGTCAGTGTTTGGTTGATGACAGGCTCCTGGTTGATTACAAAAAGATTAATGGAGCTTTATGGAGCTCACTGTCGCATTATCTTGAAGTCTACATTGAGAGATCCCAGAAGCCTTTGTGCTGAAGTTAGGTTTTTGACTAAGAGCTTTCTGCTTGATTAAAACCACTTGTTGTGTCACCAACATTAATCTTGGACTCGAGATAGTAGGAACTGCAGATGCTGGAGAATCTGAGATAACAAGGTGTAGAGCTGGATGAACACAGCAGGCCAAGCAGCATCAGAGGAGCAGGAAAGCTGACGTTTCAGGCCTAGACCCTTCTTCAGAAATCAGAAATTTCAGAAACTTCTGAAGAAGGGTCAAGGCCCGAAACGTCAGCTTTCCTGCTCCTCTGATGCTGTTTGGCCTGCTGCGTTCATCCAGCTATACACCTTTTTATCTCTTAATCTTGGACTCATTATTTTTCCACACTGAGCTGTTAAACAATACATGTAAAGATCAAATCTCCACAATCAAGGACTTGCAAAAATTGCTTTGAATTTTCATTTAATTAATGTTGATTTGATGGGAACTCAGTTTATAGATATTCATATACCCAAACAAGAACTTCAGACCTCAATGTCCCCCACATTCCACCAGGAACAACAACAACTTGGATTTCTATGGCACCTTTATCATTGTAAAATATCCCCAAATGCTTCAAATTATATTGTCAGACTATGTTTGACAGCAAGCGACATAAGACGATTACGAGGAGAGATTGCCAAAAGCTTGATCAGGGAGGGAGGTTTGAAGAAACATCTTAAAGAAGTGCAGAGAGGTGTGGAGGTTTAGTGAGGGTATTTCAGATCTTAGGGCCTAGGGGGCTGAAGGCACTGTCATCAATGGTGAGTAAAATTGCAGGGGAGCAGAGATCTTAAAGGGTTGTAGAACTGTGTTGATTGTTCACCTTTGCTCAACAGGTAATACTTTCATCTCTGAGTCAGCAAGTTGTGTCTTCAAGGTCCTCTCCAGGATGTGAGTATAGAGGGTGGCAATACAATGCATCACTAAGGAAGTACTGAACTGTCCCAGGTCCCATTTTTCAGGTGAAATGTTAAACCAAGGCCCTTTCTGCTCTAAGTAATGTGAGAGTATTCTCACAACTTTGAAGAAGAATCGGGAAATTAATCATGGTCTGCAGGCTGACATTAATCCCTTGATCAACATCCCCAAAAAGCAGTGGTTTGTGGGAGCTTGCTGTGCAAATAGTGGCTACCGCATTTGATACATTACAACAGGGACTGCATGCCAAAAGTACTTCCGATACAGGACCCTGAAGAACTGCCTCGTGCAGAAAGCTAAACGGAGTACTGGGAAGTGGATCGGTGCATAAACCACAATCCCTTTTACTCACTTGCTGTCATATGGTATGTTTAAAAGTTTAATCTGAATGTGTCAGGAAGCTTTGTGCAGTCGAGAAGGAGAGATCACATCCAGAGTGATTATACAGTTTGGGGAATTCAGTGCAGAGGTGAATGAGGTGCTTTTTGTTTACCATTTTTGGCTTATACGGGGGTGGGTGGGGTGTTATAACACATATTCCGGCAATGCGATTTGGCTATAATGTGACTGATGAATAGGGGAATGTTGTTTCTAAAACGTTGTGTTGGCTGTAATGCAATTTCACCAACCACACATCGACATCACAGGCTTTGTCAAAGGAAAATTTCTTTTTTTTGATCATTGCAGACCGTGTAAATGTTCACAGTAAGTCATAATTAGCTCATTTGAAAAAAGTAATTGGATTGTATGCCATAAACCTCAAATATATCATAGAGAGAACAACTGTCTTATTAGAAAAATATGTGGAGTCTTATGTTAAAGAGTTATGCTGAACACATTAACTGCATCAGCATTATTTAAATGCTAAATTAATGGTGTAAGTAAAAAATGAAATATAGTTTAAAATAATGAGTGCTGTTAAAGTATGCACCGTCGTGTGTAGTATTTTTGCCTAGAATTTGTTACATTTGTAAGAACTTTTGAACTTGCTTGTGTAAATCATTTATACCAAAAGTTGTCTATGTTATGACCTGCTCTTTTCCAGCACTATTTTGAATACAATGTTACCCAGGTTTACAATGCATTTTAATCCTGCAATTAACTTCAATGCCAATGGGCTACATAGGAAAGGAAGGTCAGATTCCTTTGCTTCACCTATTTGAAAATCTATCCAGAAGTCTGTGCCGATGGAATGTCAGGTCAGATCTGCATTTAAATAGAGGAGGGAATTTTACTAAAAATTGCCGATGTGTCAATTTCGGGGAAGTTTCATGGAGGGTTGCTGGCTGTGAGCTCTATCTTACACAATTTTGCATTGCTCACCTCTTTTGAATCATGCTCGCACTATCATGCATTTGCCAGAGGCAGTACTGACCACTGCTGGCATTTCCAGTGACAGAACTCTATCTAAAGCCCAGCTGTCACTTCATTGCAAATACAATGTCAGATTCGTGAATGTATTGCCTCTTTGCAGCATCACCTGTCTGATAAACTGTAATTATAACTGTAGTTATAAGAATGAAGCGACACAGGTGAGGAAGAATTTTGGAAAATATAATTATTATGCGTCCTTTGTGTAATACTTCTAAGTGACTTTTAAGTGATTTTGAGTGATATTTTTTGGTGGTCTGCCCCGACCCCGCTTTTCCCATAGGCCCCATTATTTCTATAGCGCGATTTCCTATAATGTGATGTTGCACTGGAACACAACTATTGCGATATAGCAGAACCCCTAGACTTTGTAAGAACATAGAACATTACAGCACAGTACAGGCCCTTCGGCCCACGATGTTGCGCCGACCTGTGAAACCAATCTGAAGCCCATCTAACCTAAACTATTCCATATGTTTATCCAATGACCATTTAAATGCCCTTAAAGTTGGCGAGTCTACTACTTTTGCAGGCAGGGCATTCCACGCCCTTACTACTCTCTCAGTAAAGAACCTACCTCTGACATCTGTCCTATATCTATCACCCCTCAATTTAAAGCTATGTCCCCTCGT